TAGCTTGATACTGAGATTCTTAATACTTTACACTGGTTTAGTACGAGTGACCCTGAGAAATTTGATTTACATGATTAATTCTCAGATGGTCCCTTGACGTAGACCTGAAGGCCTATCTTTTTATGCCACTTTATTAGTAAATCGGAAACAGGAGCTGGTGGACCTCCCGAAGGTCGTCATTCCAAAAGGTCGGTTCTCATAGTTTCCGTGCGTGTGGTTAACGACCCTTCTGAACATTCTCTGTTGGTAGAAATAGCGCGTGTACGAGTAGCTACTGAGATGTCTTTCAACTTGCCGGGCTTTGAAGAAAGCGAAGATGCCGAGACGTGAGCCCAATAAAAATTATTGACAACATTCGTGCCGGGCTGAACCAGTTCGCTGACAGTTACTGAAGAAATAGCCGCTGCACAACAATACGACATAATAATGTCCTTGGAAGGTCTTGAACCTCAGAAGATGTCAATGAGCTTCAACATGAAGTTTTGCAGGACCCCTTTCGTAACTGAGCCCACTCAGAGACTACTCTCTTTGTGGGTATTCCACTTAGTCATACTCATGTTCAGAACAAATTGTCGACGCTTGAGATCCAAGGACATGCAGGCTGCCTTAATTAAAGGCAGCGCCCGCGTTCAAATTTGATGAGTATGCGGCTCAGGTAGTAATAGCAAGGTAGCAAGAAACCTATTAGTGAAGAAAAATCAAAAAGAAAACATGCAAAATGCCCTATAAGGAGTTTCATACCGAACAGCGGTTGTACGTGCTTAAGGCGAAGAGAAGGAGTGGTTGCACGAGTTCTCACTTGTTGATATCAGCTGTTTTCCCTTATCACCTCACTCTCACCACACGACGTGGAGAGAAGCAGCAATGGAACAACCGCACCATCAGGCAACCATTAGAAATGAAGTTGGGCGTCGTGGTCGCCAGGTGGGCGGGGCGGTCGACTCTTTACTAGCGATAGGCGCTATCCTCTCGCCTTTGTGAGATGCAAAACTAGTACATACTGCATCCTTATGGGGAGGGCTATGATATCCAGAAAGGGCGTAGGAACATCAAGTGAACGTGGGCGCTGCCTTTAATTCCGTTGTTGTCTTCATACCCGTCCGTAGTCGATGTACTACTACCACCGATTCCATTGCTGTTCTGCTGGAAAGTTTGCTGGCAATGGTGGAACTGTCTTAGGGAGGATATCAGATATTCATTGAGCACTTTGTAGTTATCGCTGGAATCCTTTTGCGAGACCTTCTATTCGGCTTGGGAACGGCATTTTGCACCTCCGATAGTTTCTTTTGTTAGTTTCTGCTAAATTACAAGTCACACCTTGGTGAGACCTGTCGACTCTTTTTAAGTTTGAACGACGTTCCTGCTATTGCATAGTTTGCATGCCTCCACAGGAGGCATGAGAAATAATTGACAAGAACCAGGAAGAGGGCCCCACCAAGCCGAACTCGCTACTTTGCACATCTTTTTAGATCAGATAAAGGCCCTTTTCTTCCACCGATGTCGCCTCTCAATCGAATATGGAGGTAACAGGCTTCAGGGTAACGTACGTGGTTCGGTCCTATATGAAAGGACTGCCCTACAATGAGTTACTGTGCACAAGCGAAACTGCCTCCAAGAGCATAAAAAACTGCACCTCAGTTTGCATTCACGTGTCGCTTCAAAGGTTTTGATAGTACCCTCTTAATTTTTGCCCAGAGCCATAGTGCTTCACTTGAAAGGTAAAGAAGAATTATTGATCTTCCGCGAAAATACCGCTAACCATCTATAGAGTCATGATTCCTGCTAGCGATGGGGCGAGCGAGGGGGCGTGCAATGTATCGCCACCAGAACAGGTGTTACCGCCAGTTGTTGCGGACTCAGAAAGGCGCCAGTGGTGGAAAACGCTGCCCCAGAGAACGCCTCACATGAGTCATGATTTCCGCAAAGGGTAGTGCGTGTGATGGGGTGGGGGAGGGTGAGTCGGAGCTCCTCGGGGCGGCCTTCCGCAGCGATGGTGCCACCTGAATCCATAACAGTTGGCGGGAAAGGATGTTCTGGCTGCGCTCTAACTCACGACCGTATCGTTTGCAGCGATCATAACTGTGGAACTACAAACTGCTTAAAAGCCCTTGTTCTGTTGGCTTTTCTAACAATCCAATAACAGAGAAAGAGGAGATAGATCAAGCCGGTTCATCGGAAGCCTTAGGCCTTCCAAACCCAACAAGCCAATTAGCTTTCCATCCATTTCCTTTTTTGAAGCCATGCTACTGCGTCAAGATGTTTGGCAAACCCTTGCAGAAGTTTCGAAATCACAAGAAGGGTGAAGACAAAATTGCAAAAAACGAGGTCTGGTAAAAAGTGCCAGCTAAAAAATTGGCATAAAAAAGTGTCTTAAATTCGTTAAGGTCTTCTTATTATTGATGAGCAACCCCGCTTGACTCATGAACCATGAACCGCGCAGATTTACCGTACTCTGTCAGTGCCATTGAAAAATAGACGTGCAAGGTGGGAGTGCTGGTGGGCGTGGCCTCGACTTCGCGCTCGTAACTGTATAGTTGTCGAGCGTACTCCTCTCATGATGTTGTATCCTTACAGCTACCGGAGTAGCGGCATGTCGTCCGTGAGGTACTATGTCCCCTTCTACGGAGAGCCTGTTGTTTCCGTGCACACTGCAGAAGCCATTAAGCACGTCTTTACACAGTTCGCCTCACGTTGCCTCACGCTACGAAGTGTGGCGCCTTGTCGATTGTCTTGTTATGCCCCTCTAACTGGTAGCCACGTGGGCTGTGCTTTTGTGGCCAGGAGCGGCCAGGACACATCGTCGTTGAAAAATCCCCATTCAAATCGTTGTTTTCCACAACTGAGTGATGGAAACGCAGGGTCCATCGACATCGAACAAAACCTTTTTTCCTCGGAACAAAGCATTCAATGAATCTTTAGAGAGTTCCCGACGGAAATATAGTCCTTCATAGCCCCTTTTTCCACCTCCAGAACTGGCACTCTTAGAAAATTTTACGGTTACCCGGGAAAGGTGCACATTTCCAAATTCTCGACGACAGCGCATAGTAATCAGCTATTGTGCAAGAGTACGCGACGGCCGTAACGCTACTGCGAAGGGATCAGCAGTGGTGTTAGGCAGCGTCCACGTTTCCCGATGACGAGCTCCAACGCGCTACCATTGCAACTGTTCACTCCCATTCTCCCTTTTTCTCTCAAAGCAACAGCGTCTGGCGCCGATGAACAATTGTCTATAGATGCGCTCCCGTCTCTAGCAGTGGAGCGCGGTTGCAATGGCAGCGACTTGCGGAGCGTCGAAGCGCGTCATCGCGAACTTTGAACGGTTCCCTATCGCGCGGAATTTGTAAAGGATCGCGCCAAAGAAAGGCGGGGGTGGCGGGCTGAGGTGAGGTCGTAGCGAGATCCTCTTCGAGCGAGGGTGATAATTCCTGTGAGTTGGCTCCGATGAGGCTCCTCAGGATTTACCACTCCAAGCGCGCATTTCGGTATCTACGGACATAGCACGACATTTTGGAAAACCCTCACTGTTTATAATTTTCAACGAGTTATTAATTCATCTTTCAAGTTTTGAAGCTCACTTCGCGCTATTTGCTCAG